ATAATACTTTTTCTAAGACATGAACTGTTCAGATAGCCAAGTTCTCCGAAATAAGTCACTCTTTTAACCATCATGACAGCCCTCTAGGCCGTCATGTAAATACCGTGTCACGTGTTCATCGTGAGTAGTGATAAGTTAATAAAGATGATGAATTTTAAGCTCAGTAATGAAATGTGAAGGTGAATTAATAATCCACATGACACGAGCGTGGGACAAAGAAGAAACTATTGCTGTACACAACACCACCTTTGTCCCACGCTCGTGTCATGTTGATTAATTCACCTTCACATTGCATTACCGAGCTTAAAATTCACCATCTTTATTAACTCACGATGAATTCGATAGCGTTGATCCTAGCAGTATGCAGGACACCTGTGATATATGAACTCAGTTAAATGACCTTGCTCTCCATGAGTTCTCGTAGCTCAGTGGATAGAGCGCCGTCCCGGTGTTCGGGAGGTCATGGGTTCGATTCCTGTCGGGGACTCAGAATTTTTCTTTGTCCCATGCTCGTGTCATGTTCATTAATTCACCTTCACATTTCATTACCGAGCTTAAAATTCACCATCTTTATTAACTTGTCAATTTATATGTTAAACAAAAAAGGTTAACAACACCGTATATCATGGGACTAAACCATGCCTTTGAAGTTATCTTTTCTTCTTCTTGTAGCTGCTGCCTTTTTGGCGCCCAGCTTCAGTGCTTTTGCTACATCACTGATATGCTTTGACCACATTTTGACCTTGTCAACTGCGTAACATCTGCTCAGCCATTTCGATGTCAGGTGTGCCTCGTTTTGTAAGGATTTTGAAGTGTTAATATGAAGGGTTAGATACCATTGTTGCACCATTTCCTTTGCTGTAGTCTTTGACGTGATCTTTGGCGTGATCTTTGGCATTCAAGTAGTGACCACTGCGGTGTTCAGAGCATGTTGCACAATTTGTGCTTCCCCATGGTCTTTCACTGTCAGGAATAGGAAATGAAAGGTAAGATAGAGGAGGTCCTCCTTCATACCAGCAGTACTCTGTTTCTGGTGTGGACAACCTTTCTGGTAGCATAGCAGTAGCTGAAACACATACTGGCTTGGCAGGTCATTGACCATATGTCTGGTTTGCAACTCCCAAACCTCAGTAAAGTAATCATAGAGCAATTAGTGTTATTCCTTTAGGCTTGCTTTGGCTTGTTTACTACCTTTGAGAAGTGTCAGCCATAAGGGTCGTCTTTCCTGTAGCTTCTCAGACAGATCATTATTACACCCCTTAAAAAAGTGTATTTGAGATCCAGCAAATGGTGCTTGATCACAACAACTGATGTAAACATATCTGGCTGTGTCACGGTTGTCTTCAACTTTCCATAGTCAATTGCTCCTGTTTCATCACATTTGGAGCCATGCATAGTAGACGGTATGCAGAAATTTGCACGGGCAGTAACCAGGCATCCATTTTGTGGCTCTACACGGTTTAGGTAGGATGAACCACTGCTCCAGAATGTATTAAAACCTAGTGAGTGCCGAAACTCCTTTGTTTTGATATCGGAAAAGGCATTCCCACAGCGATGGAGATTTTTCTTCGCTTTTTTAAAAGAATGACAAGTATTTTGAAAGTGACGTACCGCTGACCAATGTCAAACAAATCCCGTAGGTGCATCCCGGGAGTCTGGCGCGTTCGTTTAAAAAACAAACAAACAATGTCCCTACCCTACGGGACAAAATGTTTTTCAAAAATGCACCGTTTCCCGCATGTTCCCTGGGTTTTCCCGAGGGTTTCCCGCGGTTCAACCTCGGGGAAAGTCAATGATAAGTTCATAAGCACGCAGTCTTAAATGTCAGTCATTTCCCGCCCTTGTTCAGGCCGGTAATCACACCTATTTTTTCTTGCCCGCTCTTTTGGAAGAGCTTATATGTGAGGTAACAATTATTTTTTTCTATTTATTAATTGTTAATATTATATGACGCCACGATGATTTCATTTTGCGTCAGAGAAGAAATAATCGCGTCGATTGCGCAAAGAAGCCACGTAGATTGGCCACTGGTATCAGGCCTACTGGAATTGAAAAGTTCGACATTTGACTCAAATTGAATTCGACACGAGTGAAACACGAAGATTGAAATTCTCAGAGTCTTTCGGCCTCAGCTTGACTTTCGCCAAAAGTCAGAACCAGCAGTCGCACTGGCCAAGAGGAATGCTCAAATCATTACGTCGTCAATGCAAACAGTTGTTTTGTCATGTTAATGAACGTCCCATGCCTACTACTTAGCTAAAGCCACTTAAAATTTCATTTGGAGTGTGTTTAGAATGCCAATTGTTTTTCACACACCACTGAAGTGATAATCGCCTTTTATCTCATGCGGTATAAACTTGCTAAGTAACATGGGTGATAGCCGACGTCAATGGTTTAATTTGAAGATTGTTTTCTGCAAGATTAAATCCTTTTTTTTGTTGGTGGTAAAAGGTTTTGACAACGAATTTTTCAGAAGTGTGTTAAGAGCCAATTATTCTCAGTACCCCAGTGTATCCGCATCGTAAGAGTAAACGGGTCAAAAATAGATAGAAAGTGAGTTTGACAGAACATAATGAAAATCTAAGTCGTGATTTGCTTTGGTTTTCTTTTATCGAGGTTTTCCTTGGGGAAGTTTCTTGCTGAGGTCGTGAAATTGTTTTCAGCAATTCCCAGATGAATATTTGGCTACTCAATCTATGTCTCAGCCTGCGCACCCAAAATAAACTAAATTTATCGTTCAAGCGTAGTTATCATAGTTATCCCAAATTGCTTGTAAACTTTTCAATTTTCGTGCAGATGAAAATAGGTTTTTGTTCTAGATAGCGGCGTCATAGAATATGTTCAAAACATCACATGAGGCTTTTTTGACGGTTCCCTCGTAAACTATTCTTTTTTATGTGTTTACAGGCAGTGTTGAAATCATTAATACTTTCGAGACGATGACAAAAGAATCGACACGATAGTTTGGGTTGCTAATCAGTCTTAAGTTTATTTCGTCCAAGTTTTATATTTTATAGTTATTATTATTTTTCCAATAAACCACGCGAAACAAGTTCGATAGGAAGTCGTTTGAATGGAAAACCTGTTGTAATCGGTCAATATATTGGCTGGTACCTCATTGCACCCCATGCGGTAACTAACACATCCTATGGCCTTGCTCGACGTTTCACATCCCTTGTTGTCGTCTGCAGCACTTCTTTTTCTCGGTTTCACGGCAAATGAACATACCCGCGGTTTGCCGCAATGCAGTTTGAAGGCACTATAACAAAAACAACTTTCTGAAACCAATTAGCGGGATGTTTTCCAGGTTGCTTTGAAAAGTCAGGAAATTCGCCGTTTGGACGTAAATTTGTGTGCGATTCCTTCCTTTGTGTTGGTGTGAAATTCCAATTTTGCCAGAACTCGAGTTTTGTGTTGGGTAGCCAGTCAAATTTACAGTTTCCTTTATTTGATTAAGATCGAAATAAATCATTTCATTTTCCTCAAAACCAATCTTTTTTCAATCGCATTTTAGTTAGGGATTGTCACATCGATGTTATTTATTGCGAAGCGGAAAAAATGCTTATATAAAAAGCTAACCCACGCAAAATATGGAAAACCGAAATACAGAAATAGGCGACAGTAACTGAATAGCAAACGTTGTAGGTGGAAAAGGTAGAAAGGGCGTTTAATCAATAAAATCTGAAGGCTTCGTCTTTTTTCCGAAAGTTTCTGATGTGATAAACGCGAAAAAGTAATTTTAGAATCGGCAATGAAACATTGGCGGGAAAATAGGTGGAGATTTGCATTTTAGTACCAAACCAGACGACACTTAGCCTAATTAGAAGTCTATACGCAGACTTCTTTGTTTATGAGAAGATTGCAGAGAGTCTCTTACACAGAAACATTACTCGCTCCAGGTAATTTGAGATACCAAAGGCTTTCAAGGGAAAGTCACAAAAGCATCATGTGAAAGGCGATGAATTCTGCGATTCGTGTTGAACGGCGTTGGCGTCTCCAGCGAACCAAAATTAACATACTCTTATCAACAGTAGATGGGAAACAATGGAGAGACAATGTGACTGGCTAGTCGCAGAATTATAATAGATAGCGTTCTCTTGTTGAATAATGAATTGCAGCAGCTCTCCCGAATAGTGACAGGTGTTTGGGTTGTAATTGTGAAATGTTTGAGCTCTAAACCGTGACGTGGAAGCGATAAAAAGTAATTTTCGCTCAATCAAAAATGGTCTGCATTTTGAAGCGCTTCAAAGATGTTATCTGTTGTTTTGTAAGCTTGGCTTGATTTTTCCTGGCACATGAGATCGTGCCGCGTTATTTTTCAACTCTGAGTTAACGAGGTTGCCTGTTCTTACTTTGGCCGCTTCGCCAAGCGCAGGCGAGCACGCTGGGAAAAGAGGTCCAATGTTAGCTAGGTGAATAATGCGTTTTAAAAGTGCAATGCACTCGACGACGACGAACAAATGACTTCGAAATTTTGTACCTGTCAGTCACCATCGCGTCGAAGGAAAGTTGACGATGCTTTGTCCTTCGAAAGCGATAAAGTTACGGAAGAGCTAGTACCGCTACCCAACGGATTCACCCATCAACATGATAACGGGGATGCAGAACATGAAAGTGCGCCTTGCTTAGCTGGCGATGACTCCGTTGGAGCCGTTAAAAAAGAGCGAAAACGAAGGATTTATCGCGTTTGGGAGTACTACCTGCGGCACAACACTTTACACGGCCTTCACTATGTGTTCGACACCAAGTCGATTTGGCGCAAATTGATTTGGGTCGCAGTCCTGTTAATCGCTGGTGGAATGTTTTTCAACGAGGTCAAGGAAAGTATCAAACAGTATTTCGAATATCCGTTTAGCACAATTGCTACCGTTGATTACCCAGATAAAATAAGACTTCCGGCCATTTCCATTTGTGATCTGCGCGACATAAGAAAAACTATTCTAAGCAATTCAAACCTACAGTGGCAACGTGATTATGACACCGGCTCGAATTCCAAAAGGCAAAATTTGGAACCCTCCATGAACGATGTTCTTAATGAAGCTTCCTCCATCTTAGATGAAATTTTAATTTCTTGTTCTTTGAAGCGAGGTGTTACGTCTAGCAAGGCAGTGCCGTGTGATAGTGGAAACTTTACTCTCTTCCTATCTTCAGACGGCCACACTTGCTACACGTTAAACTCGGGGGCTGGCGGCCGCCCGCTTATAGAAACGGATAATGTCGGCCCACTTTACGGAGTAAATATGGTGTTGAATACGCGGCCTCTGGAGGAAGGCAAAATGTACGGTGGAAGTGGAATGAAAGTTATTCTTCACCAGCAGGACGAACTGCCATTGAAGAGAGTAGGATTTCACGTACCTCCGGGCTATGTGACTTTCGTTGACATGAAAAAGCAAAAGGTAATTTTATTCGATTTTTTTTGCGGCCATGTTTTAGTGTAAGTTGAGTTGTTTTGTTGTTTTGGTCATGCACTCAACCCCTACAGTTTGCGTGCGAGCGCTGACACAATTTTTTTTTAGAGTTTTTGAGGTTTTTAATCGTTAAACTCACGCAGTCTTGTTTTGTATTCGAGACTCCCCTATATCGTATTTGACATGTCGTTTTAATGTGCGAAGCACTTTCAAGAATTTTCCGCATGAAAATTTGTTGTCATGCGATAGCAAACATTGGACGTATGGCTAGTGTTTATTTGGAAGAAAAGAAAGCTTTTGGTACGTTGTTTTTGATGTGACTCCTTCGAAGGTGATAGGTTTTTCGCTTTGCTTTTTGGTGTGCTTCCTTCTCTGTGTATAAGTGTGTTAATCAAACAATCAACCAACTTATTCATTTTTCATCAACGCAACGAGAAATTCAACCAGAAAATTGACGCGAGTTTAATACAAACGGCAAGCTTTAGTCACCTCGGTTGCAACTCGTTTTAACAAATAACGACCTTTTTTAGTGTATTACTCTGCATACGTTATTTATATTTTCTTTTCAAGTTGGAAATGTTTTCGATCAACCTAAAGCGACTTCCCTTTTGAAGACGACGAATAGCGACACGGAGAGAATGAAAACTAGATACATATTATCACTGCGATTGAAACAGTAGTTGTGAAGGATCTAGTAACACGCTGAGTGTTTTGAAGACGAGAACAAGGGTAATTATTTTCCCTTCGCCGCGCATCGGTTGGTCCCCAGCAAACAAATTAAATCATCAAATTCGAATGAATGGTAAATTTATTGTTAAATGTCCGGCTTTGGTTTTTACGAGTTTTTGAATATTTTCGTCACATAATGAACCAGGCAGCGAATCAATGCCAACTTGTAATTTCTCGATAACTTTGCCTTTTTTTTCAAACGCTTGACGATTTCGTTTTTTTTTTTTTTCGCATCGCCTTTATTGCAGCTAGCTTTAAGATTCATGATCGAACAATCATTTACAAATTGCAAAGGAAATTTCGGTTCTCAGTGACGCATGTGAAGAATATAGCTTCGCCGCAGACATTAAAATTTTACGAGGGTGGAATTTGTGGCAACATTTTCTTTTTGCATGTAAATTTCGTAGCCGCACCACAGCAAGTTCAGTGAGAAATAATGTCGTCTTTGAACATCACATTTAGTTTCTTGCTTGTTCAATACTTTAATGATTTCTTCCACTTAAGTATCTTCACCCACTCTCACTGCACTCTGTTTTATTGTTTATGGAATAAAATATGCCATTTGAAATTTTAAGTTAGTATGAAGATTGCATCAGTTCTATCCAAAGACTGTTTCATTAAGCCAGCTCTTATTTAGATTTATAGCCCTGATTGTTTTCCAGGGAGAATGCAATGTATAGTTTATTTTACTCTACCGAATACGTTAATTACGAACGCAGTAGGCACAACAAATCATTTTCTCGTGAAGGTTTCGTGTTTGTATCAGAAGCTAGTTGGATGTTTTAAGAGTTATTTCAACGGAGCGCCTCCGCTTATTTCAGAATTCTTTCAATATAATAATCTGACTATCGTTGAAAAATTATGAGAATTACGCAAAATATAAATTAGACGGTTTTCACCAAGGTTGTCTATATTGTTATTTGTATATTGACAAGCTTTTTTAAAGTAGGTTTGTCAAATATTAAAATTTAACTTAAATTTGATGACTTTGGCGTATTTTAGTTTTCGTTTTTGGTTTATGAGTTTTACACAGTGTGAGTTCGTTTTGTTTTGGTGCTCCATATCACAGAAATCTAAAATTCCCTGCTGATGGTCTCCATATTTCCATGCAAGTTGTCGTATTACAGTATGAAAGAGATTCATTCAAGAAGGTATTAATTAGTGGTGTTTTTCGACTCTTCCAATCGACATATTTGCTCTACTTTCACACCAGTCGAGACAATTTCCTGGAGAGTAATTTTCCTAAAGTGTGTTCTTTGGAAAGTGGCTCTTTATTAGAAGATTTTCAATCCATGCTCGCCTTATGTTATTTACATAAGTCCCTTAGCTGTATTATAACACCCAGGAAAAAAACGATTGACGAAACGAAGCCCATTACAAAGAGGATTTATCCTCGCTGTTTAGCATGATAAAAAGTGCGGGTTTTAAAAAAGGGAATTTTTCTTTATGGTATTTACCGCAAAAGTAGTACCATCTCTTTTTTGCTATATATGGCGCACAATATTTATGATTTTAAAATTCATAGTTATTGTAAGCAAGGAACCTTGTAATTAAAACTGTTTTGGTGCTACTTAACTTGTTTAGAAAATACCTGCCGTTGTGTCTTTTATCTGTCGTTGTTTTGACAGACTTTTTGGAGGCAAATAAATCCAAGGTTTTCTCAAAGTTGTAAATGAAGCAAAACATGCCTTTTGTTTAAACCTTTCGTTTAAAAGGTTTGAAATCTCCAGCTTACTGGGATGTGTAGTCATTAGGTGTTAGGTGTCCTAGTTGGAAACAAACGTCGTGATCTTAGGAATTAAGGGCAGTCCTAGGGTCTTAGGGCTCTTGCCGTGCCTAAACATAGGACGCTTTACTCTCCAAGCGCCTCTCTTTCCCAGATGTATGAATTAAGCTAAATTATTGTGGCACCGTAGAAAACGAGAGATTCACATCCCGTTCAGGAAATCCGGTGAAGTAGCCAATTCAGCCTCTTCATTCTACGCAAACAAGAGTTAAGCACCGAGCCTGCTGGCCCGTGAATACCTAACCCATTGATATCTCTTGACCAAGAAAAATTCATTCCATTCCAAGTCCACTCCAATTCCCTCTTTTCAGTGTCATATTCTGGGTGGACCTTTCGTTCGAGCTGAACTTGTTATATATTTTTATGGTGCATATTGTTGTTGAAACTGTCCTCGATAGTGTTAACCACCGAAAAGAATGCATTGACATCTCTTGAATATTACAAACGAAATGACTTTAAGAGGATTTCATGTACTTTCCAAAAAAAAAAAATCCCTGCACGAGTTTCGAAATTCGAGGTACCTTTTAACATGACCAAGTTTATTTGAAAAGTTTTCAAAATACTGATTATAAATAAAGCGTTTGGTATGGCTAAGCCTCAAAAATTAGAAACACAGTAGCACGATCTATACAGAAGTTGTGATCAATGTTCATCACATTCCTTAGCAACCACATTGGGTAAAACAGCGAACTCATGATTTTTGTTGACAAAGTGCTACTCGTCAAACCCAAAATATTTTTTCAAATCCACAAAAATACGGTTAAGGCGGAAAAAACCTCCGACACGAATTGACAACTTACGCCGGTATCACGCCACATTTTTTCTAATTCTTCCGTTTCCAAACTACGTCTGGACTTGGAAAAATGTTTTTATGTAATATTTTTAAAAGATTTTTGTAATAGTTTGATTTGCAAACAAAGTTGCAATTTGAGGTAATTTTTTCGGATTTGAAAATATTTTGGGACTGACCCTCTTCGGTTTCCGTAACACAGTAATTCACTGACGTAGAAACATACAAACAAGTTGAAAAGGGTAGGAAAATTCAAGATGTACAAAGAACTGAAGAGAAGCAGTCAAATAGCACCGAATTTCAATTTCGATTGTCGCGCGCCGGCAAGTTTAAGATGGCCCTGCCATATGCAAAGCTACCTAACATCGTAAGTGTTACCTTGCAATGAGGTTATAAGTATATTATATATAAAGAGATAATATTTTTGACATAACATTTGTCTACTTTCCCAGCTTAAAAACCTTCGAGATCCTTTTAGCACCAACTGTAGCGGAAAAAGTCTGGACTATTTTCCGGAATATTCTCGTAACAAATGTTATCTGGAAGGAATGACCAAATACGTCACTAACAAATGCGGCTGCAGAGGTTGGTTCATGCCAGGTAAGATATTAAACATACTCACCTACTGTTGTGAAACGAAAACATACTGACTGCATAACCCTTCAAAAGTAATCGTTCTATAACAAAACGGCGGATTTCAGCCCTCCCTCCTCCCCCCTCCAAAATAAATAAAAAAAAAAAACGGGTGGAGTACAATGGACACATTCGGCTAACGTGTTTACATCCTTGTTGCCACCCAATTCAGACCACATGATGATTCATTTGGGAGGCTAAAATTGTGATATTTGTCACGCGCAACTGAGTGTATGAGGGTATGTGTAAACAGAACCCTTCCAAATGAATCATCACATGATCTGAATTGGGTGGCAACCAGCATGTAAACACGTTAGCCGAAACCCTCTATTTGTGCGGCGTGCTTCGACAAATCCTTGGTCCTCGAAATGCCAAAAAATGTTATTTTCACTTCCCTATTCTGACTTGACTCAGAATGTGATAGTCTATTTTATATTAGATGGCTGTTGTTAAGATATGAAAAACGTTAAAAAACAGTCTTTTAAAAATCATGTTCAAGTCCCAAGACCAGAATGCACAAACCGTATGTTGTTACAGACAAAAACGGTCAAAACCCACATACTATTTCAGGCTCACTAAAACAACTTGCAATGTGTACCCTTTGGTACTTTTTATGCTTTTTGTGGTTTGGTTTGGTTTTGGCTTTTTAACTAAGATAAGACATTACTGGCCGAGTAGTTACGCGTCCCGCTCAAGTTCCACTCTGACCACTAAGTAAGAGTTGTTTCTCGGTAGACCCTAGTTTAACTCCCCGCTCATGCTTGTTAATAGCCAACTGGTCTGCCCTCTCAAGTTGGAATTTTTAACCTATAGTGTTTAGCAGAAATATTTGTTTCTTTCAGTGTAAGTGTCATGCCTGTGAACTAGCTAGGTGTAGCTAAGTCCATCGACCACTTTAAACATTCAACGTTTAGCATTTTATCTATTTACCTGCTCCTTCTTTCCACAGAAACAACGGATAATATCACCGCATGTTCATTGAACCAGACTCTGGATTGTATGTGGCCTGCATGGGGTAAGCCTATGCAAACGTGACTTCAACGAGAAAGGAAGGACTGTGAAAGAACGTTCGAAAACCATGTTCATTTAAATCGTTATCTTAGATTTGATTTTCGAAAGTCAAATTAAATTTATTATTAGCCGAAGTAAAGCATTTAGCTTGTTCTGGCCAAGAAATGTTGTTCTACTTGCTACTAGTAGTCATCTTGCTTCAAACAAAATGAAGATGAGGATGACTGAGCCTCGATGTCTTATCAATCTTTTTTGTATATCGAAAGTGGCCTATTCTCTTTGTCGCAAATAAATGTTCTGGTGGTTAAGCACAGAATACACTGATTCTTTCTTTGGACACCATGTACCATCTTTCAGCTCGCGGCCAGAGTGTAGTTACTACACCTGCCTCCCACTGTGGTGGGTAACCCTTCCTAAGTGACTTAATCATTTACTTCCTAATTTGTCTTTCAGAGGAATACGAGCAATCCAATGTTAACAGCCCAGTTGAATGTCCAGTAGATTGTGAGAAGGTGTCTTATGAAGCCCAGTTATCTGCAACTCTCTACCTGCCTCAAAAACTTGTGCCTTTAAAAAAACACGAGAAACTCAAGCAAGCCAAGCACATGCCCAATGACACAGACGGCATGGTTCAGTTTATGTTGTAAGTGGTGTTTAGAATAAATAGTTTTATCAGTTGTCTGCCGTAATGAAGCATGGTAGAATGTTTATGATGAAGCGTTTCAAAAACATTCATATCCAAAGTACTCATGTTTTAACCAAAGAAGAATTTATGAATGGTCTTTGTTTTTTATAAATATCTTTACGAGTTTGCTACGGATTCTTATGAAACTTCGCAGTATTACTAACTTCGGCATAATAAAGTGAACTATGGAGGCAATTTTTTGTTTATTTGAAAATTACTAAAAATTGTTGATATTGTGTGACATCGGTGAAAAGCACAATTAACTGACACTGCACAGGTTTAATGTAATTTCTGGGCAGAGCGGATCTTATCAGGGGAACGTTCTTTTGTTGACAGTCTGGAGAACACAAGACGTCCGTGAATTTCCTCGGACAAAATTTAATTTTTCATTGAATGGGCAGATAAAACCCGGACGTGACTTACATAGAGGAAGGTTTACGTGAAAATCCTTCATTAACAGCTGGTTATGGAACTTCCTTATTGCAGGGACTACTATGTGGTGTTGTCGTTATACTTCAGTGAATTGAGAATTGACATTTTTGAGCAAACTCCTTCTTATGGATTTTTTAGATTAGTGGGTAAGTTAATTAACAAATATTTACCACTTTGTTTCGTTTATCACTAATGTTATATTCAAGTAGTATCTTGATATTTTTATTTCGTTTGTTGTCATTTAAAGTGTATGGAGATCAGATAACCTCATTACAGTCACGGCAATGATTTCCTTAATTAGTTATTAACTTTATGTATTATCAAATGACTGTGACAAATTTTTATATTTTTTCTTTTGGATTGGTAAGCTTGAAAGCAGCTGGTCAGTTATAAAGGGAGTATCCCTGTAGTTGAATGAACATATACTTGTTGTTATGCACTACTGTTCTATTTTGTCCTCAGGTGACGCGGGTGGTCAACTTGGCCTTGTGTTAGGAGCTAGTTTCATCACAATACTGGAAGTTATCGACCTGGTTATCATGTTTGCCATCAACTGGTTTCGATCTAAGCCACCCAACAAAACCACAAATATATCGTGAATCACGTGCTTGATGCTCAGCTGATATTTTGTTGCTGATTCGATGAAACACCGTGTGATTGTAATGAATGTTGTGAAGCATCTTGTAAATGGATGAGGCTGACCCTGAAGTTATGGAAGCTACTACAGTACTGTGTGCATGAGGTCTTCCGTTTGGATATTCGTTCGAAGGCTGACCGTACAAACATGCTGAACATACCCAGTAACACTGTTTAATGGATGACAGTAAAATCTAACTTCATCAGGAAGTGTAAAGCGTAAGACTGGCCATTACCAAAATTATTTTGATCGAGATAATTTTGCGAAACCTAGATTGCACTCTAGGCGATACATGTGAATTCCAAATATCAAGTTTGGAAACAGTGAGTTGAAAATTGCTTCAGCTCGGCTAAGAACTAAAAGGGAACTATCTGCATCATCCGTTGAGTTGTCGAAAAAGGCGGGAAAATCATCTTAAGGCCTGCGCTCAAAAAAAACAGATATTTAGCAAGTTATCGGGGATAGAATCGCATTATAGAGGTTGTTGCACTTACCAAAGCTAACAGTGAAGGTAAAGTCCATTAAAGAAAACTATTATCAAAAGTAAAAAGCTGTTATTTTAGTCTGTTCTTCGTTTTACCTCGGAAACCAGATCCAAGACTGGGATTTTTCCTTTCTACATCTGAGGGATTTAAATCTTACATCTGAAAATGCAGTTTAAAATCCGTCAGTGCCTTTGTATATTTCTGTACATTTTGAACTTTTTTAAACTTAGCCAAACGCAGAAATCACTTCACGCATTCGCTTCGTCATAGAAGGGATAACATCGCAAAAGTTAACTAATTCATTCATGTTTTTTGTTTTTTTTTTTGATCAAGTCTTGTGCTGTTAGGCCAGGGCGGACAGAACGTAGTTTAACAGAATAAAGTTAGGCTATGGTGAATCTTGTTGTTAGGAGATTACTGGAAAATAAAAGTGCATACTAACTTACTAGTTATAATAAAACCAGTTCTGACAACATATAACGACATTCGCTTGGAAGAGATCTTTTAGTTTCCTCTCGTAGCTTCATAATTCCAAATACGATCTTTGCAGCATTTTGACAGTTGCATACAATCTTTTTGGTTTTACCCGTTATTTTCTGGAGGTAGATTAAAGATTGCGAACTTGGCCATAGCCAAGGGTGAACTGGCGTAATTATTTTTAAATTCGTGAGGAGAATCGCCGAAAGAAACTCTCTAAGAAAAAGAAAAACACTCCTTAATAGCAGCTGTCAGTTTGCTGGAGAAAAGCATTGGCAGAAGTTGGTCGCAAATATGTCAAAAGTAGAAATGAAAGCAGGAGCTAGAAATATATAATCCTGTAGATAAGGAAAAGAAGTTCTCTTGCTGTGGTGTAGAATTAGTCAATAGAGTAATTATATGTAAAAAAATAGAAACAAAATCAAATAAATGACGATTTATTAAGAATATTGAATTAAGTTTCTTTTTGTTGAGATTATTAGCTGTAATTAACTTTTAGATTAAGAATGCGATTAAATTGTTCAGTTTTGCACCGATGAATGACTAACACTAATGCTCCGGTTGTTTTAAGGGTGCATAACGTTATCGACTGAATGAGTTGATGTTCAGTGGACAGCGTTGTTTATTTTGTCAGCACTTGTCGATTGCAAAGTGATTTATCCATCCTTTGTTTAAGTAAGCCCAGAGTGTTACTTAAGAAGTTATTTTTTTGAAGTTAGACTGGCGTTTTATTTCTTTACCAATATAACAAGGTAGACCTCAGTTCATATGAGTGTGTTTTAGCTTTGTTGCGACATTCCAATTTGTAAATCCCATTCTATATTTTCCAATTCCTCGTAAACCAGTCCGTCCCCCACACACACACACACACACATACACACTTTGCATACACCATTGTCGTAAAATGCTCTTGGGGATATGCAGACATCCCAAGAGCATTTAAAAATATAATACTTTATGGACATTTTGGGGGCAAATGGAGTGAATTATGGGGAATTGGAAAATAGAGAATAGAAAATCTACTCTCCTGCGCAGACTCTGTCTGAGCACGTGACACGCCCAAAGCGCATCCACGAAGGAGACTCGGAAAATATATGTACTGAAGTAATATCAAAACCTTAGAGAAACAAAACTATTATAGTTTACTGAGGCAATTATCATTCAATATTTGGCTACAATACAAAACGAGTGAGCATTAGATCAACCAACTGCTTTAAAATATTACAAAACTGACAAATGAATCATAAATAAACGAACTCTCGAGAGACAATTTCAAGTGCTGAAGTGATGTCAGTTCCAACGAAGCTAGAAATAAAAAACATTTTGAATAAAAAAAACTATATTTTTATTAACATGTAAAAACTATATATATTTTATTTACATGTAAATTGTATATTTTTTGATACAAATAATAATAGCCCACTATGTAACAATTAGACCCATAGCCCTTGCGGGCTACGGGTCAATAGCCCATGAGGCGAAGCCGAATAGGCTATTGACCCGTGGCCCTTGAGGGCGAAGGGTCT